AAGAGGAGGGGTCACAAGTGTCAGATTTTGGAATCTGATGGCAGATCTTATATGTAACAGATATATGTGGGTCTGACTCTTAGGAGGGCTCTGCTGACCTTAGACTAGTAGAAGTTTGAGGAAACAAAGCTAGAAATAATATATGGGGAATCACGTTGGCGCTGAGCGCGGGCGAGCCCTGGTCGCGGGCCTGCAGCGTCAGCTCGAAGGCGCGCAGCTGCTCGTGGTCGAAGGCGCGCTGCGCGAACACCACCCCGCTCTGCGGGCTCACGGACACGTAAGACAGCAGCGCTCTAGGCTCCAGGTCGCTGGCCACGATGGAGTAGGAGACCTGGCCGTTGGGTCCCAGATCTGGGTCCCAAGCGCGGATCTGGGTTATGGAGGCCCCGGGCTGGTTGTTTTCTGGTAGGTGGACCAAGTAGGCGGGTTGTTCGAAAATGGGAGCATTGTCGTTTACATCACCAATTTGTAGGGTGACGCTGGCGCTGGAGGACAGGGGAGGCTTGCCCTTGTCAGTAGCGGTGACAGTGACATTGTACTCTGCAGTCTTCTCTCTGTCCAAGGGTCCATCTGTTACAAGCTTGTAGTAATTATTGGCAGAAGTTTCAATTCTAAAAGGAATTTTTTCTTTTATGAGGCATGTGATCTCTCCATTTTCTCCAGAATCTTTATCATATGTTTTGAACAGAGCAATTACCATTCCAGGTTCTGCAACCTCGGTTATGGAACTGGACACTGAAGTAAAAACTACTTCCGGAACATTGTCATTCTCATCCAGAATTTCTAGTATAATTTTACATTCAGTGCCCATGCCTCCACCGTCCCTTGCTTCTATGCTCATGGTATAACTTCTTCTGATTTCGAAGTCTATAGGATCTTTGGATTTAACTTCTCCATTATTAGGATCTAGTATAAACTTATTTCCAATACCATCTCTTAGGGACTTGAAGGAGTAGGTGATCTCTGCATTGATGCCCTCATCCTGATCAGTAGCTGTCACCTGTAACACAGAGGTGCCTGGGGGCACGTTCTCTCTAAGGTTGACTTTGTATACATCCTGAGTGAATACTGGGGGGTTATCATTGGCATCAGTGACCTTGATTTTAATTTGAGCAGTGCCAGTTAGGACAGGGTCTCCCCCGTCCACTGCAGTCAGGAACAGAAGATGGGAACTCTGTTGTTCCCGATCCAGCGGCTTCTCCAACACTAATTCTGGGACATTCTTGCCCTCGGTCTTGTCCTTCACCATGAGAAAGAAATGATCATTAGAGCTGAGCTGGTAACTTTGAAGAGAATGAGGTCCTACATCTGCATCGATAGCAGATTCCAGGCCAAATCTAGTGCCTGGAAGTGCTAATTCATTGATTTGTAAAACAATGGTACTTTCAGGGAAACGAGGGGGATTGTCATTTATATCTTCTATTATCACATCTATGTGAAAAACATTTAGAGGATTTTCTGCTACAATCTCTAACGGTATTACACACAGAGGGCTCAGGGGACAGAGCAGCTCCCGATCTATTCTGTCATTCACAAGGATGTCCCCATTCTCAGTGTTCACGGAAAAGTATTGTTTCTCTGCACTAACTCTGAGGTTTCGGGCAAGTAAATTCCCAATAGGCAGCCTCAGGTCCTCAACTAGGTTTCCTACTCTTGAGCCCCTGGCCATTTCTTCCGGAATAGAATAGCGGATCTGTTCGGCAAGCGCCGCGCTGAACAAAGGCACAAGAAAGGGAAAGAGTACTTGCCGCCACCGGCGCCTTTGCTTCCCTCGGTATGCCATCCTTCTTGAGTGCTGTTGCAGCTTCAGAAATTAACGGAAGATTCTTCACAAATGGCTTTGAAAATCCAATGGCCCTAGTTTGCAGGTACCCCAGACTCTATGGAGTTTGATTTGCCAAGCAGAAAACCCAAGCCTGGGGCACCCTCCTCTCTGCCTTGCTTCTGTGACTGCGCAAATAGGCTCGGGAATCCTGGGATCCAGCTCTTGCGGCGAATTGGTCAACAGCGGCGCTCAGAGACTGTTTAGAAAACTGCAGTCTGAAGCTTTTGCAAATTCAATAGGATTCCATATTCCACAGATAAATTGGGCTGTGTGAGGACTGAAGCAGTTTATGAGTTTTGAGTGTCTATTTTCCAGTGTTTAGTATCCAAGAGAGTTCCTTAGTGATGGAATCTACAGTAGAGCCATTAATCTAGTTAACAGGAGAGTTTTGTCCTTTCCTAATCAAAGAAAATGGACACACTGGAAGAATTAAGGAAAGTCTTCTCCCAGATGAACAAAGACCACGTGGAAAAATAGCCCCACCAAGTGGTATAGGAAAGTTTTGACGATAAAATGACACCGTGTATTATCTTCACTCTGATATGCAAAAATGTTCTCCTTTTATCAGACCCAAAACCATAGAACACACATTCAAAATAAAGATGGACAATGCCATAAAAATATTCCTAATTACTTACAGTAAAGATTTAGGAAAGTGATTACTATGTATTGACATTTTCATCATAAACTGAATGTAAATGTATAGCCTAGAGATTCATCATAAAAATTTAATGACATGAAATTAAGGGTATTTTTATCCTTTTATTTAAATAGACTATATATTACAACTGCACAAAACTTTATCACTACCTGCAAGTCAAAACAACCTTAATACCAAGTTTCAAAGCCAATCTTTCTTTCCTTTTTGTTCTCCAAGATATTAGTTACCAGCTGTCAACTAGTTTAGACTGTGCTTAAGAATATGGAATGACTTACCTCTTCCAGTCAAGAAATTACTTTTCATTAATTTTTCTTGACTCCCAGATAAACTTGAGCATCTGTTGAAACATTTGCCTTCCCTGCTGTTGGAAATTCTTTTGTCCAAGAAATAGTTAATCAATTTCCAGTTAATTATATGAAGGTCATCTCCTAAGGGAAAATTAACATACACCATGTTCCCTTGAAAGGGAACATTAACATACACCGTACACGTAATTTGGGAAAAAGACTTAGAAGCCAGTGGGAGAGTGCTCAGCTGAACTGATTATGGAAATGATTCCTGCGATCAAACAGCCCAATGTATGTCTCTACCTCACCTGACTTTCCTAGACCTTGCTTCAGATAACATGAATGTCATTAGATAATCACCAAGACTCCGATAACAAGTTGTTTCTGAATACAGTAATTGAATATACTTATTTATAATACAAAACATGCTTATGAAAGAAAGAAAGAGAGAGAAAGAAAAAAAGAAAGAGAAGGAAGGAGTCAATCACTCCTAGGTAAACTGAAAATGAACAACAACAAAAAAAAAAGCGGAATATTTCTCAGTGTGTGTGTGTGTGTGTGTGTGTGTGTGTGTGTGTCGCTTACTTTCAGGACCCTGTATATGCTAAGCACATTCTCTACCACTGAGCAATACCTCTAGAACTTATATCAGTTCCTTATAAACCCTAAATACCTTCCTTCACCTCATCCTTACAAACTATTCCATAGGAAGAAACTGAAAGGTGAAACCATTTTTAGCAGATCTGAAAATAATTTTTTGAGAAACCCTGGACAAAAATAAAAAAATTTCCACATGTGAATTTACTACAACAAAAGCTTTTTTTTTTTTTGGTACCAGGATCAAATTCAGGACCTTGTGCTTGTGAGGCAGGTAGCAGAAGCACTGAGCTAAATCCCTGGCTACAACAAAATCTTTCTAGGGGTCTGGGATTTAGCTCAGTGGTTCCACCACCTGCCTTGCAAGCACTGGGACCCAAGTTCAATCCCCCTCCCTGGTACCAAAAGAAAAACAAAAAGCTTTCTACAGACACTAAAGTAAAAGATGAAAGGAAGTAACATCAGTCCAACAATTCAATTATTTTTTCAGAACACTCTAATGACTTCCTTATAGTAATAGAAAAAAATCTGGAACTTAAAAAAAAAAAGAGTTTTGCATTTTCTCTCTCAAGAAAACCTAGTTAATATGTCTGTTTTGATAGGATAAAGAAATGAAACTATGTTGAAAGTCAACAAGATCTAAATATAATATATTACTAGTCTTTAGAAAGTAGAATAGAATTATTTCATACTCAGGAAAAAAATCAGCCTGTATGTATACTCATGTGTGTGCAGCTAAATAAATCAGAAAGAGCCAAGAGTGAATACTCCTACATCAACAGGGTTAAATGGGAACATTAGAAGTAATAGCACATAATGGTAGGATATAACTATAAACCAGTGGAGACACTGTGGAATTGAAATAGACACTGTGAAATGGAAATAAATAAAATGTTTGTAAATCATTAGTTTGAATCATAATCAGTTTACACTGATAGTAATAGACAATGATGATAGAAAAATAATACTAAATTCACCTTAATGCAAAGCAAGCCATGGTAGTTGAACTGATGCTTTCTAGTCAAAGGAAAATATTCTAGGTCTAAAAATATAAATGAGACTTTCATACTTTCACAAAGACTTTCTGAAAGGTGATGGCAATCTGATAAAAGGTAAAGCATACAAACTCACTCTAAATATGACTCATATGTCACTCTAAATATGTAGGAACTATGTCTACTCAAAACCCAGTTTTCATAATAGGTGTGGCAAAAATCCCCTTAAAAGACTTGGCAAAAATTGGGAGACAGAGAAATAAATCTCACCTGATTATCTGTTGGGTCATATTTGCCTAAAATGGTAGCCGAATCTATCAAGAGAGGCTCGCTTTTCTCACAGCTCTCCTGGCTGATGAGGGTGTCCACATAGTTGGGCTGTGGGAAGATCAAGTGGCTCTTCCTGGAGTCTGCGGTGAGTGAGACCTCATGGGAATAGGTCTGCAAGAAAGCTCGAACCCCATCCACACCCACAAAATCTGAGGTGGGCAAACCTGCTAATCCACTGCCTGCTGCCTGAAGAAAGCGAGAGGAGCGCCAGTGCCTAAGTCTGAGCGCCAGCAGCACGATGACAAAAATAAGGAAGATGCAGGAGACTGCGGCGATGGCCACAACTAGATAGAGTGTGAGGCCTGACTCATCAGGGTTAGCAGGAGACTCCAGATTCCCCAAGTCAGCCAGAATTTCTGGGATGCTGTCAGCCACCGCCACGGTGAGCGTTATGGTGGCTGACAGGGGAGGCTGGCCGTGGTCCTGCACAGACACCACGAGGCTCTGCTTGAGTGCATCTTTGTCCAGCAGTGTCCGGGCTGTGCGAACCTCACCCGTGTGCAGCCCCACCATAAAAAGACCTGGCTCGCTGGCCTTCAGCAGGCGGTACGACAGCCAGGCATTCTGTCCAGAGTCTCTGTCCACTGCCACCACCTTGGTTACTAGATAACCAGGCTCTGCCGAGCGGGGTGCCAACTCTACACCAGTGGAGCCATCTGTAGGGATGGTGGGGTACAGGACCTCAGGGATGTTGTCATTTTGGTCCAGCACAAACAGGCTCAGTGACACATTGCTGCTGAGTGGTGGGTCCCCACTGTCATGAGCAGTCACTCTCAGTTGCAGGTTTTGGAACTGTTCATAGTCAAAGGATTGCAGTGAGTAGAGGATTCCAGTATCTGAATGAATAGACACATAGGAGGATAGAGGCACTCCCTGGATAGTGTCCTGCATTAGAGAGTAAGTGACTTGGGCATTTTCTTTGCTGTCCAGGTCCGTAGCAGACACCGAGAAGATGGAGGCTCCTCTGGGGTTGTTTTCAGGAATGTAGGCAGAGTAAGAGGATTGGGAGAAAACTGGAGGGTTATCATTGTCATCTGCCACATTCAGCAAGAGGTGAGCTTCTGTAGATAAGGGTGGACTTCCCTGATCTTTGGCTGTCAATGTTATGTTGTAGCTCTGGATTTGCTCTCTGTCCAGCTCACTGTTTGTTATCAACTTGTAATAATTTCCATAAGTCTTTTCTAATTTAAAAGGAAGATTACTAGGAATGAAACAGGAGACCTGACCATTTTCTCCAGAATCTCGATCTCGCACATTTAGAAGAGCAATTACGGAACCTGGAGGAGAATTTTCCAGCAATGAATTAATAGAAGAGGTAATGGCTATTTCTGGAGCATTATCATTCACATCCATAACTGTGATCAACATCTTAGCAGTGGTCAAAAGACCGCCACCGTCTTGGCCTTGGATTTCCATCTCATAGAATCTGTATTTTTCAAAATCGAGAGGTCCTTGTACTAGAACTTCTCCAGTTTTCGAGTTCATCTGGAATATTTCAGAAGCTTTGCTTTCCATGTTTCGGAATGAATACATCACTTCCCCGTTAGTCCCCTCATCTGGATCTGTTGCATTTACCACGATCACCCGAGTTCCAGAGCTGAGGTTTTCGGGAACACTCACCTGATACATAGACTGTGTAAACTTTGGGGTGTGGTCATTCACGTCGAGGACCACCGCGCGAATGGGAATGGCGCCCTTGCGGATGGGATCGCCGCCATCTACTGCTGTGAGGAGGAGGTGGTGAGCTGCTTCTTTCTCCCGGTCCAGGCCTCCCTCCAGCACTAGCTCCGGATTCTTGACCCCATCAGCTCCTCTTCTCACTTGCAAAGAAAAGTAACTATTCGGGCTGAGCTGGTAGCTCTGGAGAGAGTTCGCCCCCACATCCGGATCCCTAGCGTTAGGAAGAGGAAATCGCGATCCAGGAGTTGCATGCTCACTGACTTTTATCTCTACTTCCTCTTCCCGGAAGCTAGGAGCGTTATCATTAATATCAATTATTTCCACCTCCACGCCATAAATCTTCAGGGTGTCCTCCACAAGAATCTCCAGACTTAAAAAGCAGGAGGACACCGCCTCACAGAGCTCCTCCCGGTCTATCCGGCCCGCGGTGACCAAGCTGCCGCCTCGCGGATCCAGAGCGAAAAGCTGCGTCTTTTCTCCGGAGACGATGCGGACTCCGCGCTCCGCCAGCTCCCGAGGCTCCAGCCCCAGGTCTTTGGAGATGTTGCCCACAAAGAATCCTCTGTCGGTCTCTTCTGGCACAGAATATCGGATCTGCCCAGCCCCCAAACCCCACAGCGTCCCCAGGATACAGCACAGCAGGAGCATCCCGCTACGGTCCTGACGCGGTGGCAGATTCTCCATGGCAGGGTCTGAGCAAATAATCCGTAGTGCCTTGAGCTGGTTTGCTTCCCAGGTATTCCGCATCCAAAATATATCAGAAAGCTGAAGATAGCGCTTTTAAATTTCCACCATCAGCATCGGTGAGTATCCATCTCATTCTGCTTTGTGTGGTAGAGGTCGGGGAGGGGAACTCAGTAACTCTCTGTCTCCCATTCCCTAATTGGTCAACAGCGGCGCCTAGAGCCCAATCTTATTATTGCAACGATGAAGAAAAACTGATGGTCTTGTTACATAAGAAATTTTTACACTTACCTTTTCGTGAATCATACGTATTTATATAGCTTGAAATCGCAAACAGTAGTTATGCAATATTATGGTAAAAGTTTACCGAGAGCAATTATGAAAGCAGAGATTATTAAAACGGCTTGTTTAATTTTTTAAAAGTTTTCAAAAATACCACTGGAACTAATAACGTGCAGGTTAGGTTCTAACTCATTTTACAGACAGAAAGGAGCTGGAATTTGTGGATGTAGAAATAAGACGGTGCAGACAAGATCATCAGGTAGGGGGCATGGCTAATTCTTATCATTTTTTGAGTAACAAAGATGGAAATTTTGATAAAATTTGGATAGTATTTGGGTTGTCACTTGAAATATCAAAGGAATATAACCGTATACTATATCCCTAACTAAATTTGTTTTCATAAAAATTTCCCTGAGATTTCATGTGCATGCATTGTATGGATGGTGCTGTGGATGGAAGCCAAGGCCTCGAGCACGCTAAGCTAAGCAAGTACTCTATCACTAAGCTACAATCCCAGTCCTCGGAAATTTACCTTAAAACGTTTTTGTACAACAGGGAGATCAAGCACTGCAAACTTGCCATTTAACAGTGATACCTGAAGGTTTCAATTATATTTGTAGTAGGACATTAACAATTGTTTAATATTGTGTAGTAACAGTACTAGAGTATACTGGCATATTGAAATATAAAAAGCAGTATTTTAAATACCTTGTTAAATGTCGTCTTGTCTGCTTCAATACTGGGAGTTAAAATACTAGCCAGTAGCATGGAGGAGCTATCTTTGTTGAGAAGATCTTGGGCGGCTGGACAGTGATCAACAGATGTGAGAAAATTAACTTCTGGATTTGTTTGGTCCCCTGGCACACACAAATTATAGGTGTAGGGCAACGTTCCCTCATTGTAGCTGGGGGGAAGCACAGGTACGGGCTTTGAGCAGAGAACCGACCCAAAACAGCTCCTGGCTGGGTGGCTGGAGGAGTGTCCCGAGCGCAAAGCAATAGCCAGAATCACTGCGAGGAGGAAGAGCACTGAGATCAAGGCCAAAGCCACCACCAGGTAGAACTGCAGCTCGGCCTGGGGGTCAGAGGACACAGGGTCTTCCCTGAGGTCCGGCAGCACCTCCTGCAGGCTGTCCGCGAAAACAAGGTGCAGCGTGGCGGTGGCCGAAAGAGGAGGCTGCCCACCATCGCGCACAGCGACCAGCAGGCGGTGGCGGGCAGCGTCCCTATCGCTTAAAACGCGAGCTGTGCGCACCTCGCCC